TGATAGATAGATAGATAGATAGATAGATAGATAGATAGATAGATGATAGATAGATAGATGATAGATAGATAGATAGATAGATGATAGATAGATAGATAGATGATAGATAGATAGATAGATAGATAGATAGATAGATAGATAGATAGATAGTAGTGTAGTGGATGCTGGACGACAGGGGCTGACAGTGTAAGGGGAGAGGAGGTGGAATTTGGGCCCACCTAAGACACAAGCTGTGACCCATGACAAGGCTGAAAAGAGAGGCAAAGCCCAAGTTCCTGAGAGCCTAGGACAGGAGGCATGTGTCTCCCACCAGGACCCACAGGGCTGTCCCTGAGCAGTGGCTTTTCCAGCTGGAATGCGGGCTGGGGAGGGTCAGGATTCATGGGGGCCCAAGGCCAGGGTCTCCCCCAGGAGCTCATATCCAGACACACCACAAGTGTTAAGTGCTGGTATTTGTGCGTTCACTTTTGGTGAAGGAATGTGTGTCCAGCTCAGGGCAGTAAAAACTAGTTCAAGGCCCAAAAGCCCACTTGGCTGTGTGTCAGGCTGGCATCAGGTGCCAATCAAGCAGCTGCGAAGCCCGTGGGACACACATTCCACCAGGGGACGCAGAGCAGCTGTCAGGTGTCACGAAGACAGTTGCTTTCCTACAAAGTGGGGCTTCTCTACAATCCTGGGCTCTGGGCAGCACTGCTCCCTAAAGACCTGGTATTGGACAGGCGACATTTCACTATGCCCTGGGGACCCTAGTCGTGGACAGGGAAGCAGAATCCTCCAGGCAGAGCTTCCGGGAAGGGGAAGGCAGGCCCAGCCTCCTGCCCCGCTGTGCGGTGTGGCTCCCAGGAGAAGACCCAGTGCAGCCCAGGCTGATGCCGACCCTACAAGTCCCCCCGCACCCCGCACCCTCCACCGTACCTCGCTGGAGCTCCACCTTTCTCCCAGTTCCATAAGGAGGCCACCTTTGCTTATTTGCAAGGTATTTTGGGGCTCTCTACCCTGTTGTCTTCCTCATCTCTAGCCATGACCCTGGCTCTGTCCCTGTGGTCTCAGGCTGGTTGGGCTGGCATGGCCCCATCAGTGGTCCTCACTGGATTTTTTTTTTTTTTTTTTTTGTACTGGGGATCAACTTAGGACCTTGCACTTGACAGGCAGGTGCTTATGACACTGAGCTATTTCCCAGGTCCTGCCACTGGATTTTTAATTAAATCAAAGCTATTTAGCAAGCCATGTGTCATACAGGCCGAGGGGCCCCACGAGAGCGTCCTTACCCACTGCCACCCCTCCTGTCTCCTCCCTCCAGGCTGGACCTATCCTGACACACCCAGCACTCCACCGAAGACCCTGTCCAACACTGCCCACTTGCCTGCTCCCCCTCAGGGCTTGGGCCGTGCTGTTCCTGTGACTGGGTTCAGGACCTCACGTGGTGGCAGAAACACCACCAGAGGCCCAAGGGACTTTCCTGAAATGACATAGCAGACGGAAAGATGCCACTTTGAAAATTCCCAGCTTCTTGGAAAAGTTGGTACCAGGCATCCATGAATTAAGGAACCTGTCTGAGAAATGCAGTTCTCTAAGGACCAGGGAGGCAGAAGCAGCTCTGGCCTAGGCACTGGCGGGCCCAAGAGCAGCCATGTCAGGAAAACTAGTCCTTCATACTCAAAATCCCAGGGCCCCCTTAGAATTCAACCCAGAATCCAGCATGCGTGGTATGCACTCTGCTTTCTTTTAAATCAGCCCACACAGCATATGAAGGAAGTAGAAATAAAAGTAAAACAAAGCTCAGGATGGTGGTCACCCAGGGGGGAAGTAGGGCAGAGGAGGCATAGGGCGTGGGGTGCGAGCGGGGGCTGGTTTTATTCATTTTTTTATTTGTGGTTCTAGGGCTTTCCACGTCCTAGGCAAGCCTCTACTGCTCACCTACAGCCCCAACTCGTTCCTGCTTTTTGACTGATCTGCAAGCCGAGCTGGACCCTTGGCATTGGAAGGTGAGACATCAGCTGAAA